AACCTTGGTTGTAGGAACTCGACTGCAGATGTGTCACCTAGTACCAGGCCTCTCCCAGGTTTATGTTCTCTATGGCTGACCAGATGTGCAACTCTGCCATAGCCTCCATCTGTTGCAAAAACAAGTTTCTTTGATGAGTGCTGTATGGCATGTTTGTTGCTCTAAGTGCAGTCTCTTCTATCTGGCACTGCATTCCCTTCCAAGCAGCTCCTAGGTATATATATGCATTAATGTTCAGACACTACATACATTTCTCATAGGGTTTCTAGGGCATCACATTTTCCCTCTAGGTTTCCTAGCCCCCCGAGATTCACTCATCTCTAATCTTTATTCTTCCATCTGGCCTCCCTCCTCCCTCCCTTCCCATTCACAGTGCCCCCATTATTCCTGCCCTCCCCCGAATACCTCTCGACTCCCACCATCTTTCCTCTCCTGGCTTCCCTCTCTCCCCTACACCATGGTCCCTTGCATGTCCCTCGCTCCTCTCTTCCCTGCTGATTACTCATAATTTTTCCAGCTCCCTCAGGTAACATCTGTTCCCTACTATCTCCCTTTCAGGTTGTTTCTTTTCCTGCACCTCCATGTATCTTTTGCCTGGCTCCTGATGTTATTTCAGAATTTATATACTCACATATAAGGGATTGGTGCTACAATCCACAAATGAGGGAAAATATGTCACTTGTTTTTCTGTGTTTCTGTTACTTCACTTAGTATAACACTCTCTAGCTCCATCCATTTACCTGCAAATTTCATAATTTAATCTTTTCTTACTGCTGAGTAGAACTCCATTGAGTAGATGTACCACATTTTCATTAACCATTCATCAGTTGAGGGACATTTAGGTTGTTTCCATTTCTTAGCTATTGTGAAGAGAGTAGAAACAAACATGAATGTACAGATATCTGTACAGTATAATGAGTCCTTTGGGTATATGCCAAGGAGTGGTATCGCTGGATCATACGATAGGTTCATTTTTAGTTTCGGGGGGGTTCTCCACACTGCTTTCCATAGTGGTTGCACAAGTTTGCATTTCCACCAGCAGTGAATGAGTGTCCTCTTTCTCCACATCCTCTCCAGCATTTGGAGTCTTCCATTCTCTTGATCTTGGCCAATCTGACGTGTAAGATGAAATCTTAAAGTCGTTTTGATTTGCATTTCTCTAATTACTAAGGATGTTGAGCACTTTTTAAGGTGCCTCTTAGCCACTTTTATTTCTTTGCTTGAGAACTCTCTGTTTAGGTCTATAGCCCATCTTTTTATTGGTTCGTTTGTCTTCTTGTTTCTTTCTTTTTTGAGTTCTTTGTATATTCTGGATATTAATTCTCTGTCAGATGTGTATCTGGTGGAGATTTTCTCCCATTCAGTGGGTTTTCTCTTCCCTTCCTTAATGCTTTCCTCATGAATTCTTAAAGGGTTTACTTTGGAAATATGAAGCAAATAAGCAACAAAACCAACTAATATCTTAGGAAAATCACAACAGATTCCTCCTAAATTCTCAGGAGGATTCATGGTGGCAAGTGGGAATGTGCATAATAAATTGTTCCTAGGACCTTTGTCATTGTAAATCTAAAGGAAATAACTGATAACCTCTGTGCTGGGTGTACTGCTTAGAACTAGTAATTTATCTGCTAAATAATCAAAGATAAGGAATAAATGAAGGAATCATTTATGGCATAAAAAATCATTTACCATTTTTGTCTGGGCTTCGTTGTTGTTGGGGATTTAAGAAAAAATTTTTTTGAGAATTTCATACCTAAGTACTGTGTTTTCAGCATTTTTACTCCCTGCCTGAACTCTTCCCATGTCCCCCAAACTCCCTCTCAGTTTCATGATCTCATCTTTATTGTGGCTATATATATATATATATTTGTGAATTTTATATATTGACACACACACATACACACACACACAACCTACTGAGTCTATTTAATGCTGCTCCTATGTTCCTGTGTTTAGGGTTGAGCACTTGTGATTGGATAGCCTATCTTGGAGCTCATCTCTGGAGAAAACTGATTTTCTGTCTCTCTCAGTAGTCAATGAGTGCCTGTAGCTCTTCATCTAGAAGTAGGGCCTTGTGAAATTTCCCTCATCAATGTTGGTGTGTCCACTGCTGTTGTCATTATGCAGGTTTTGTTTAGGAAACTACATTGTTGAGATTTTCTCAGTGTACCTTCCCTGTCATGCCTAGAGAATACTATGTAGTAGCAGGTGTCTTGGTCCTCTGGATCTTACAATCTTTCTGCCTCCTCTCTGCCATGTTCCCTGAGCTATAGGTATAGACTTTGCATAGTGGATGTATCTGTTGGAGCTGGCCACCCCATGGTTGCTTATTCTCTGCATTTGTGACAAGTTGTGGATCCCTATAGTAGTTTCCCATCTGTTATAAAAAGAAGCTTCTTTGATGAGTGGTGAGAGCTACACTTATTTGCACATGTAAGAATACGTGTTTAGAATATAATTACAAATTATATTAGCTTAGGAAAGTGGCAATAGTAATTTTTCCTCTGGGTCTATGATCTCTACAGTCATTGGTAGTTGACTAGATTTACAATACCAGGCATGAATTCCCTTCTATTGAGTGGGCCTTAAGTTCAATTAGACAACTGTTGATAACCACCAAAATAAAAGTGCCACTATTGCACCATTAGGGATATTTTGCTAGGCCAGTCATCCTTGCAGTTCATGGGCTTTACAACTGGGTGGGGCTGTTGATTAGTTTTCTCCCCTTGGCAGCTTCCACAGTACCTTCCTTTCTTTATGAGTACCAGTCCTCAAGGAAGAGGCTTTCAGGTCAGGTCCAGCTGGATTCCTCCAAGTCCTGTGTATGTTCAAAGTACATGATAAACTCTTACCTTCAAATTCTAGGACCAAGTAACGAAGGGCAATGGCAATATCCTGTATTGTTTAGGGAGTCTCTTGAACTGACTTGACCAGCAACTTAATGGGAGGTTTCCTATGCCTGGTACTGAGATTTTTTTTTTTTAGATAACCTATGGAAACATATATACGCATAATCATATAATTTTAAGTAGGATTAATGTCATTCCCTATTTTTTTCAGACATCCATATTGTTATTAATCTCTCTTCCTCCCTCTTCCTATATAGTACCTTCCCTCCCTTTCCCAGTTAAAATCCCCCCATCTTTCACATTTAAAATTTTTGACCATATGCTCAATTATATTGTTGTTTAAAGCATATATCCATGCACTGAACCAAGTAAGAATTGCCCATATGATCAATTACCATACTCTATATTCTTTTATTTCACCTACTTGTGAAAGTCACTCTGTAGATATTATCAAATGAATTATTTTTAACATCCAAATTGTCCAGTCACTTGAGGGATATGATAAAAGAATCTGGATAGTTATTTCTGTAGTCTTCCCTTTTCATATAAACTCATATTGTATTATAGAATCTTCATGTATTTGGTTGACACGTGCTTCCCCAACTCTGCTTGGAATGTTATAGAACAGAAGAAAATTGCAGCATGTTAGCTTTCTAAACTCAGGAAAAGTTTGAATTCTAAAACCTTTATATCCCTAAAAGGCCTGGTTTAAGAACTGTGGATCTGTAATTAATCTAATGGTACAGAGGAGCAAAACCATTCATATATTCCTAAGGAGACTACAAGTTGGTGCTCTTGTACATAGGAAGACAGCAGTCTAGCAACATTTATCAAAAACCACAGAAGGACATATCCCCTTGAAGCCAAAATTCTGCCTTCAAAAATTTATCATTACTAAAATAATAGAAAACTAATTAGAGGTTTGGGTTGCAGTGTGTTTTATACAAGTGGTGCCTATAACAGAAAATCCCTCATAGTCAGTAACAGAAGACTGTGAACTTGCATAGATCTTAGCCATGCCACAGAGTGCTACCTTGTGGTCTTCAAAGTGATATTATGCAGTAATATTCATAACCTTGATTTTTTGTCAAGCAAATTATCATACTATAAAATCATATACATTTTAATTTAAAACTGTGTCCATAAACAGACAACAATTTGAAATCTATTCACCAAAATATTAACAGTGCTTATTTCTGTGTGGCAGGATTTCAGGTAATTCGATTTTTTTCCACTAACTGTGCTTTGTCTATAACAATGTATGCTACTATAATAATAATAACTATTACATTTCTCTTAAATATTCTATTTAGGCATGCAAATACACAAATTGACTTTCAAATTGCATATATAATTAAAGTTTATGAAGAAGAACACAATGTTCTTTATATTTGTCAGGCTTTATTATAAAGGCTCAGTGTACATGGAGTGCAGTATTATGAAGAAAAGCCTTTTTCCAAATACTATGTTTTTGCTTATTCTGGGGTTTATAATACTGATGATATTTTCTAAGTATGTGTACTAAAATTAATCATCAAGAATTAGAAATGTCGAGAAACTACACTGAAAATTTTAGACTTTTTTTTTAAACTATACCCAGCAAACATACTGGCAGCATCCAAATCCTTACCCATATGGAGGGAACAGCATGCCACTAACCATCTCAAGTGGTGGGGTATCAATTGAGAATGTGTAATGTCTTTGTTTCAATCATCAGAAACAATTTGCTAGCCTCAGAAATATATTTTGAAAATATGATCTTCATTTTGAAATACTCCTTTCACAATACAAATAAATAAGAGAGCTGTGTGCACTCTCAGGAAAGTGATTTGCCTTCTGTGTTGAGCTGGATGGCGGCAACATGATGAGGTGCCATCCTACTGCTTGGCATGGACAAAACAGCTAAACCCAGCAGTAAATCTGCAGAGCAGAGAGCTCTGGGTTTTAACTGCCAATTTTCAAGTCAGTGCTTCTTATAGTTCCCACAATATGTGTCTGAAATTCAGTGCTATCTCTAAAGGCTTTACTCATTTTATTCTGCTTTGAGAGACCATTTTTCCTATTTATGAACAATTAAATTATATTGCTTTTATTAGAAAATTGTGGTATCTATTCTTTATTTACTGAAAGAAATAACTTTTTATTTTTCAGAGCTTCCATATGGCTGGGAAAAAATCGATGACCCCATATATGGCACTTATTATGTTGAGTAAGTCTCTAATTATGATATTAACTTGTTATTAATATGTTGTGAAATTGTATTAGCATTTCATTTATTGAGCACGTGTGGCTAACAGCCCCCTTAAATCTCTTTCATCTTACTTTGAAGTATCCACAAAGACAGTAGCAGGGCTGGCTCGCTGTTTCCTGATGCTCCAGCTGGCTCATTTGCCATTACTTTCCTTTGACTCATGATTCTGAAACACCAATTGGGAAAGTTTTACACTGGCCTCTAAATGAGTGATAATTAAAGATATCAAAGTGATTGCCTTTCATTTTGTGATCAACATGTTGGGAGTTGGCTGCTTGTGCAAAAGAGATATTCCATTACACCAAATTTCAAGTTCTGTTAAATGAATCAGTCATGCCTTCCAATTGAAGGATAAAATAGAAGTTAGATGTTTTCTCATTTTCGGGACCCATTCAAAATCAAGAGTATTCTTTGAGTATGTGGACTTTTACGTTACCTACTGGTTGTTGCATTGTTATATCTAATTATAGTATAAACTATCCCTAACTATATATCCTTTAATTCAGAATGAATAGTCTACCAAGGACTAAATATTTTTCTTAACAAAATCAAACAATATTCATAATTCTCTAAAACTGATTATGTAATATATTTCCAGAATACTCTCTTCTGATGGAGAATGCCTAACTCTCACCTGTTGTATAGCACTCCCTAAATTACTTGGGTGAAGCCTGTGTACACTTTATATGCTACCCAAGAAATGCAGAGATTGCAAAACAAAAACCTTTCACACTATTTATCAAGATCTAATTTTTTTCTCTAAGCATATTCTGTGTAACAATAATAATGTACATGGTCAAGGGTCATAGATTAATGGCTTTTTTACTAAATTGTTTTTGTAATGGTATTCAAGCAGTTACTGAGCTTTTATTAGGTGTCAGGCCCTGCTTCATACTGCAGATGTTCAGATAAGTTAGACCTGTACACCCCTACTACCCTTGAGCCTCTCCTGCATGAGCACTTGTCTCAATTACTTTGACTCCCCATTTTCATTTGGAGAAGCCCCAAGTTTGGCACCAGTGTCCATCATTTCCATATTCACGGTCAAGGTGAACTCAGCTCTTTTACAATGAGCAATCTTCTGACATAGTGCTTAATATCTACTGTGTGGACACCCCAGATAGAAGTAAGATAAATAAACAGCAGTATGCTTGACTGCAAAAACAAAGGAGAATCATTTGTTAGTAGTTATAAGGACTCCGAGTCACACTAAATTTAGCAGTACATGTGGTAAGTCCTAGCTTGGATGTTTGTTTGCTGTGCTCTGGATCTAACGAAGGGCTTTGCTCATCTAGGAAAGCAGTTTACCACTGGGCTCTATCCCCAACCCTCCCAGATTATCTTCAGTCTCTAAATCAGACCGCGGTGCCCCTAAGCATGTGACCTCTGAAGTCCAATCTGTAAGGACACAGAACTAAAGTGTATTCCATACCACATCTCTTCTTTTTTTGTAATTTTTAATCAAATTTTGTGTGTTTCCTGCAAAGCATCTTAATTGTCTTTATACCCCGACCCCATTGGCACCTTCCCATAGCTTCCCCCACTGGAATTCGTACATTCTGTCATTTGTGTGAAGGTCTATTATGTCAAGTTAGTGTCCCCAGACCTCTTCTTTAATACATTGTCTGTGGAATCAGCGAATAAAAACCCTTTCCTTGGTCCTAGTGGTAGTAAACTCCATAAAGACCCAGGTAACAATTATTTTGGGAGTCCTACAGCCTCTGCCACTATTCAGCTATTTTGTAGCTTATAGACAACCACTGGCACCACTTACATGAATGGAAGAGTCCCTATCCTATTATAGTGTTAATTACAAAAGCAAACAAGCTAGCCCTACCTTATTCTAATGCTTCAGGTTATTCCTTTATATCTTCACCTCCTTTGAAACTTATTTCCAATGTGGATACACTAACTCAAAGCTATGTCTTCTGACCTTACCATTTCTCAGAGATATGAGCACCCAAGCATCAGAAAGCTATGCTTCCTATCTACTCAGTCTTCACGTAAATATCTGCTGGTGACAGATGCTAAGAGTTAACTATTGAATGGGACATTGCTATAACCCTAAAAAACTCTTTGCTATCTTGATACTTTGGATTATTTTTTGTTTTTAGTTAAATTATACTTCTCTCTCTATTTCCCCATTTCATTTTTATATAATACATCTATAGTCATAAAACTACTCAGAATTCAGTCATTTGTCTAAATAGAAAAATGGGGTTTCATAATTTTAGGCTTCAAATGTGTAGACTGTCATATACACAGGTCATAGTGAATCAAAGTAACTTAACTTTCTTCTAGTCAATCCAGCTCTGCTGCTTGCTAATGCTTCACCCCTATGACAGGACTCCAAAGAGTATATCAGTATCAGTACCTAGATGTGAGAGCACGTCAGGTGAAGCAGAAAACCAAGTCAAAAAACAGAGTCCAAGCTTAGAGATATTGTTAACTACAATATTATCCAGATATTTCTCAGAAAAATCTTTTTGGAAAAATTTACCACCATAATTTTAAAACCTCAATTTATTCTATAAATATGTCTTCTTGAAGTGAGGAATATCTGCCACTATAGCAAAGACAATTTGTCATATATTTTAATTGAAATATTCCTATTAGCATGATTTTTTTCATTTATCTCGTCTCAGTGATGCTATAATTTTCACAAGTGTATATTGGTTCTGAATAGTAGACCTGCTTATGAAAGTCATGCAAACACTTACACAAACATAGAGGCCATTCAGCACTTTTGATGCACACATTTGTTTTATTGCCAGAAGTCATCTACTTTCTTATATTATTTTGTACAGAAAATAATTAATTTCTAGACTCAATTATATTATCAGTTTTTCCAGTGTAAACATCAAAAATATAAAATGTCTTGTGGTCATTGACCACCACTGGCTCTTAGAATCTTTCTGCCCGTCTTCCACAATGGTCTCTCAACCTTGGGTGGCAGAGGTTTGATAGAGGTATCCTATTCAGGGATATATTCTCTGCAGTCTCTTTTTCTCAGCACTTTGGGAAGTTGTGGCTTTCTGGGTTAATCACCATTTGTTGCATGATACACAAGATCCACGAAAGCTCAAGCCAGACAAACTCCCCGCCTAGAAGTGGGAAAGTGGGTAAGAAGCCCCAACCTTAGCTGAGAAACTATTGACGACCTGTGACCCCTGGGAGAGGGAGAGTTGGTTTCCTTTAAGGATATGACCCTTAGGTTAATCAGGCTCCAGTGGATGGTTGCACACTGAAGGACATTTGGGAACACAAACTTGGCTTGATAGGCCTTAAACATATATGACAGAGTATATAAAATCAAGTGGGAGGGTAATAGGAAGAGTGCAGACAAGGAAGAGGGTCTAAATATGATTAAAATACATTGTACAAATTGGCAAAAATTCAATAAAATGTTTAGCTATAAATAAAAAAGTAATAGTTATATAAAATTTTAACTAAAAATATATAACTATATTTTTAACCATCTGAAGATACAGCTCAGTAATAAAGCCTAGCATGTACAAGGCTCTAAGTTTGACCTCCAACATACCCCCACACACAGATAAAGATGACATTCATAATTATGGTAATATTGAATGTCAACACCTTAAGACATTGTACTTGAATTGTTAATATTTAGTGAATTTTTAAAAGTAGGGCTATCTTATAAATATTTGTAAATCTGAGCCCAAGAAAACATTGATTCACTAATGCTGTTAATGACCAGTGGTGGCTGTGGACAGTGGATTGTTTGTATAGCTGTCATTCTTTCTATACTCAATTATATATACATTCATATAATCACAAATATTGGCTACCAAAAACAATGAAAAGCATCTGCCGTGTTCCATTTGTTAGTTTGTTTTTATAAGGAAACAACCCATATTCCCAGACGCTAGAGAGAAGAGGGACACCTTAGCAGTCAGCCACTCTTCAAAGAGACCAACAGCTAGGGGCAAAAGTTGCAGCGCAGGCTCTGCTCCCAGCCAAGCATGGCAGATTGAATCAGTGCTGTGCTTCTGGCACAGCTGCACAAACACACATTCTCCTGTCAGACGTGGCCAAGCAAATAGGAATTCCAGCAATCAATACCAAAAGAGCTTTTCACAGCTAGAAGCTGCAAAGTCTGGATTAAACAACTTTGACCACTATCACTGACATTGCTCAGTATAATTCTGTCCCACGTAAATTCATTTTAAAGATTGTGGATATTGTATATTCAAGAGCTACAAAAAAAAATCATTCTCACCATCCTCATCATTATCATCTCATCACCATGGTTTCACTGCTCTTCCCAGGCTCAATGTGTGCCATGAGCTGGCCTCCTCCACAGTCTCTGCCACTTCTACCCTCTGCAGTGATGTTGAGGCAGATGGCCTTAAGCTTACAGATAAGGAAACCCTTGCTGAAGAAGTTAAATAACTTACTTAGAGTCTCACTTTATTGAAACAAAGGACTGAAATAGGAGTCTCAACTGTTTGGATGGAGAAACCAGACTCCAAATTCTTGCTCATAATGCATCTCATAAATTTACATTCATAATCTAAAATGTTCCAAACAAGCTTTTGAGACTCAGTAGTAGGAAGAATAAAGCCTCCTTCAAGAACATGTCCTTCCTGACTTCCCTTGAGAACAATTCCATAGCAAGATGCCCAAGACTGGCAGGTCATGCTCTCTACCTAGCCCTGTGAGATGGGCTCCCAACCCAGCATTATGAGTCACCAAGTCCATGCTGCTACTGTACAGAGAGTTCCTAGACAACATGGCAGCTGGGAATGGGACCTGAAGTGGGAGAAGTCCTTATTGTGGGAGTCTCATCAGGGAGCTGGTCATTGGTTTGCAGCAAATACAGCCATATAGCTCTGTGTTTTAAGTGTGTGGTCCTTACTCCACATCTCTTTATTTCATTTGCAGGTCAGGCAGATGCACTGAGTTGTATTCTACAAACCAGCCAAAAGAATTTA